CTGTAGCACCGTGCCAAATGCTACTCAAGCGGTGCCCTGTAGCACCGTGCCAAATGCTACTCAAGCCGTGCCTGTAGCACCGTGCCAAATGCTACTCAAGCCGGTGCCCTGTAGCACCGTGCCAAATGCTACTCAAGCGCTGCCCTGTAGCACCGTGCCAAATGCTACTCAAGCGGTGCCCTGTAGCACCGTGCCAAATGCTACTCAAGCGGTGCCCTGTAGCACCGTGCCAAATGCTACTCAAGCGGTGCCCTGTAGCACCGTGCCAAATGCTACTCAAGCGGTGCCCTGTACCACCGTGCCAAATGCTACTCAAGCGGTGCCCTGTAGCACCGTGCCAAATGCTACTCAAGCGGTGCCCTGTACCACCGTGCCAAATGCTACTCAAGCGATGCCCTGTAGCACTGTGCCAAATGCCTACTCAAGCGGTGCCCTGTAGCACCGTGCCAAATGCTACTCAAGCGGTTCCCAGTAGCACCGTGCCAAATGCTACTCAAGCGGTGCCCTGTAGCACCGTGCCAAATGCTACTCAAGCGCTGCCCTGTAGCACCGTGCCAAATGCTACTCAAGCGGTGCCCTGTAGCACCGTGCCAAATGCTACTCAAGCGGTGCCCTGTAGCACCGTGCCAAATGCTACTCAAGCGGTGCCCTGTAACACCGTGCCAAATGCTACTCAAGTGCTGCCCTGTAGCACGTGCCAAATGCTACTCAAGCGGTGCCCTGTAGCACCGTGCCAAATGCTACTCAAGCGGTGCCCTGTAGCACCGTGCCAAATGCTACTCAAGCGGTGCCCTGTAGCACCGTGCCAAATGCTACTCAAGCGGTGCCCTGTAGCACCGTGCCAAATGCTACTCAAGCGGTGCCCTGTAGCACCGTGCCAAGTGCTACTCAAGCGGTGCCCTGTAGCACTGTGCCAAATGCTACTCAAGCGGTGCCCTGTAGCACCGTGCCAAATGCACTCAAGTGCTGGCCTGTAGCACCGTGCCAAATGCTACTCAAGCGGTGCCCTGTAGCACCGTGCCAAATGCTACTCAAGCGGTGCCCTGTAGCACCGTGCCAAATGTTACTGAAGCGGTGCCCTGTAGCACCGTGCCAAATGCTACTCAAGCGGTGCCTGTAGCACCGTGCCAAGTGCTACTCAAGCGGTGCCCTGTAGCACCGTGCCAAATGCTACTCAAGCGGTGCCCTGTAGCACCGTGCCAAATGCTACTCAAGTGCTGGCCTGTAGCACCGTGCCAAATGCTACTCAAGCGGTGCCCTGTAGCACCGTGCCAAATGCTACTCAAGCGGTGCCCTGTAGCACCGTGCCAAATGTTACTGAAGCGGTGCCCTGTAGCACCGTGCCAATGCTACTCAAGCGGTGCCCTGTATCTCCGTGCCAAATGCTACTCAAGCGCTGCCCTGTAGCACCGTGCCAAATGCTACTCAAGCGGTGCCCTGTAGCACCGTGCCAAATGCTACTCAAGCGGTGCCCTGTATCTCCGTGCCAAATGCTACTCAAGCGCTGCCCTGTAGCACCGTGCCAAATGCTACTCAAGCGGTGCCCTGTAGCACCGTGCCAAATGCTACTCAAGCGGTGCCCTGTAGCACCGTGCCAAATGCTACTCAAGTGCTGGCTGTAGCACCGTGCCAAATGCTACTCAAGCGGTGCCCTGTAGCACCGTGCCAAATGCTACTCAAGCGGTTCCAGTAGCACCGTGCCAAATGCTACTCAAGCGGTGCCCTGTAGCACCGTGCCAAATGCTACTCAAGCGCTGCCCTGTAGCACCATGCCAAATGCTACTCAGCGGTGCCCTGTAGCACCGTGCCAAATGCTACTCAAGCGGTGCCCTGTAGCACCGTGCCAAATGCTACTCAAGCGGTGCCCTGTAGCACCGTGCCAAATGCTACTCAAGGGGCCTGTAGCACCGTGCCAAATGCTACTCAAGCGGTGCCCTGTATCTCCGTGCCAAATGCTACTCAAGCGCTGCCCTGTAGCACCGTGCCAAATGCTACTCAAGCGGTGCCCTGTAGCACCGTGCCCAATGCTACTCAAGCGGTGCCCTGTAGCACCGTGCCAAATGCTACTCAAGCCGTGCCTGTAGCACCGTGCCAAATGCTACTCAAGCGGTGCCCTGTAGCACCGTGCCAAATGTTACTGAAGCGGTGCCCTGTAGCACCGTGCCAAATGCTACTCACACGGTGCCCTGTATCTCCGTGCCAAATGCTACTCAAGCGCTGCCCTGTAGCACCGTGCCAAATGCTACTCAAGCGGTGCCCTGTAGCACCGTGCCAAATGCTACTCAAGCGGTGCCTGTATCTCCGTGCCAAATGCTACTCAAGCGCTGCCTGTAGCACCGTGCCAAATGCTACTCAAGCGGTGCCTGTAGCACCGTGCCAAATGCTACTCAAGCGGTGCCCTGTAGCAGTGCCAAATGCTACTCAAGTGCTGGCCTGTAGCACCGTGCCAAATGCTACTCAAGCGGTGCCCTGTAGCACCGTGCCAATGCTACTCAAGCGGTTCCCAGTAGCACCGTGCCAAATGCTACTCAAGCGGTGCCCTGTAGCACCGTGCCAAATGCTACTCAAGCGCTGCCCTGTAGCACCATGCAAATGCTACTCAAGCGGTGCCCTGTAGCACCGTGCCAAATGCTACTCAAGGTGCCCTGTAGCACCGTGCCAAATGCTACTCAAGCGGTGCCCTGTAGCACCGTGCCAAATGCTACTCAAGCGGTGCCCTGTAGCACCGTGCCAAATGCTACTCAAGCGGTGCCCTGTAGCACCGTGCCAAATGCTACTCAAGCGGTGCCCTGTAGCACCGTGCCAAATGCTACTCAAGCGGTGCCCTGTATCTCCGTGCCAAATGCTACTCAAGCGCTGCCCTGTAGCACCGTGCCAAATGCTACTCAAGCGGTGCCCTGTAGCACCGTGCCAAATGCTACTCAAGCGGTGCCCTGTAGCACCGTGCCAAATGCTACTCAAGCCGTGCCTGTAGCACCGTGCCAAATGCTACTCAAGCGGTGCCCTGTAGCACCGTGCCAAATGCTACTCAAGCGCTGCCCTGTAGCACCGTGCCAAATGCTACTCAAGCGGTGCCTGTAGCACCGTGCCAAATGCTACTCAAGCGGTGCCCTGTAGCACCGTGCCAAATGCTACTCAAGCGGTGCCCTGTAGCACCGTGCCAAATGCTACTCAAGCGGTGCCTGTACCACCGTGCCAAATGCTACTCAAGCGGTGCCCTGTAGCACCGTGCCAAATGCTACTCAAGCGGTGCCCTGTACCACCGTGCCAAATGCTACTCAAGCGATGCCCTGTAGCACTGTGCCAAATGCTACTCAAGCGGTGCCCTGTAGCACCGTGCCAAATGCTACTCAAGCGGTTCCCAGTAGCACCGTGCCAAATGCTACTCAAGCGGTGCCCTGTAGCACCGTGCCCAATGCTACTCAAGCGCTGCCCTGTAGCACCGTGCCAAATGCTACTCAAGCGGTGCCCTGTAGCACCGTGCCAAATGCTACTCAAGCGGTGCCCTGTAGCACCGTGCCAAATGCTACTCAAGCGGTGCCCTGTAACACCGTGCCAAATGCTACTCAAGTGCTGCCCTGTAGCACCGTGCCAAATGCTACTCAAGCGGTGCCCTGTAGCACCGTGCCAAATGCTACTCAAGCGGTGCCCTGTAGCACCGTGCCAAATGCTACTCAAGCGGTGCCCTGTAGCACCGTGCCAAATGCTACTCAAGCGGTGCCCTGTAGCACCGTGCCAAATGCTACTCAAGCGGTGCCCTGTAGCACCGTGCCAAGTGCTACTCAAGCGGTGCCCTGTAGCACCGTGCCAAATGCTACTCAAGCGGTGCCCTGTAGCACCGTGCCAAATGCTACTCAAGTGCTGGCCTGTAGCACCGTGCCAAATGCTACTCAAGCGGTGCCCTGTAGCACCGTGCCAAATGCTACTCAAGCGGTGCCCTGTAGCACCGTGCCAAATGTTACTGAAGCGGTGCCCTGTAGCACCGTGCCAAATGCTACTCAAGCGGTGCCCTGTAGCACCGTGCCAAGTGCTACTCAAGCGGTGCCCTGTAGCACCGTGCCAAATGCTACTCAAGCGGTGCCCTGTAGCACCGTGCCAAATGCTACTCAAGTGCTGGCCTGTAGCACCGTGCCAAATGCTACTCAAGCGGTGCCCTGTAGCACCGTGCCAAATGCTACTCAAGCGGTGCCCTGTAGCACCGTGCCAAATGTTACTGAAGCGGTGCCCTGTAGCACCGTGCCAAATGCTACTCAAGCGGTGCCCTGTATCTCCGTGCCAAATGCTACTCAAGCGCTGCCCTGTAGCACCGTGCCAAATGCTACTCAAGCGGTGCCCTGTAGCACCGTGCCAAATGCTACTCAAGCGGTGCCCTGTATCTCCGTGCCAAATGCTACTCAAGCGCTGCCCTGTAGCACCGTGCCAAATGCTACTCAAGCGGTGCCCGTAGCACCGTGCCAAATGCTACTCAAGCGGTTGCCCTGTAGCACCGTGCCAAATGCTACTCAAGCCGTGCCTGTAGCACCGTGCCAAATGCTACTCAAGCGGTGCCCTGTAGCACCGTGCCAAATGCTACTCAAGCGGTGCCCTGTAGCACCGTGCCAAATGCTACTCAAGCGGTGCCTGTAGCACCGTGCCAAATGCTACTCAAGCGGTGCCCTGTAGCACCGTGCCAAATGCTACTCAAGCGGTGCCCTGTAGCACCGTGCCAAAGCTACTCAAGCGGTGCCCTGTAGCACCGTGCCAAATGCTACTCAAGCGGTTCCCAGTAGCACCGTGCCAAATGCTACTCAAGCGGTGCCCTGTAGCACCGTGCCAAATGCTACTCAAGCGCTGCCCTGTAGCACCATGCCAAATGCTACTCAAGCGGTGCCCTGTAGCACCGTGCCAAATGCTACTCAAGCGGTGCCCTGTAGCACCGTGCCAAATGCTACTCAAGCGGTGCCCTGTAGCACCGTGCCAAATGCTACTCAAGGGGCAACAATGCGTCCTTATGGCAATGCATGCATGGCACCGCACAACGCGGCTCCCCACCCCTAGACCTTCTTCTTTCACGGACGGCTGTGCCCCTTTCATCCCGTCACCTCAACTCTTTGCTCTCACCTCACCTATTCCTCCCCCCCAACAGCACGGCCCTCTGCTGCTCTGGCGGGGCGCCCTGCACCACCTTCCTCGCACACCACGGCATCCACGTGGACCAATCAGAGCTCGCCACGTGTCCCCTGCGCCTGTCTGCCCCTCGGGCGACCGCGTGTCCATTGTTCTCCCAACAACCAGGTGCCCCCTCCTCCCTCTCCCTTTACACTCCCAATCGCTCGCCCCAGTCTCTCTCGCTCTTCTCTTCGTCGCCTCCACTCTATTCCTCCTCATCTCCTGACGTTTCTTCACATCTCACCTCCTCACCTCCTCACCCATCTCCTCACCTGTTAATCTCCCTCCACATCCTGTCCTCTCTCCTCGTCCCTAACCCCCACTCCACCGGCCACTAGGAGCATCGCTTCCAAGTCAAGCTAGCAGTCGCACGCTTACCTGCCTGCCAGGTGTCTCACTGCCATTCGTGCAAGCCCCTTCCCCCGCCGCCTCTCCCACGACCTGCGCTGCACCCTGCTCGCCGCGCGCCTGTGGCGGCTGCAGCACAAGGGGAGGAGAAGGCAGACGGGAGTGTGGAGAGAAGTGGTGGGCTGGTGGCGGCAGCGGGTGGAGCTTGTGAAGCTGTTGTGCGCTGGTGGGCGCAGCTGGGGCGCTGCTAATGTGCAGAGGGAGGGAGGGGGAGAGTGGCACACACTGCTGTGTGTGGGAGGAGTGGATTGAAGCGGCGCTCGTGGGGGATGGTGCTCGCCAGTGGCACTGGCAGGCAGGGCGCAGAGGGAGAGGTTGAGCAAGGGGGGGAGGCAATGGAGGTGGATGGTGAGGGTGACAGGGGCAGTGCAGGCAGGGGGGCACA